CTGCATGACGGCCTCCTCCAGCCATAACAAAGAGAAGTGACAAAACATCATTAAGTTTGAGGCATTTCAGTTTTCTTTGACAAGAGGCAGTTAAAAGTACATTAATACTATTGTCAGCACACAGGAGGCGATACAGCTCTAAATGTATGAGGAAAATAACAACAAAAGATACGCTGAGCAGGTGACATGTACCTGAAAGACAGACATCATTGCACCGAGAGTCTGTTGTTGTTTTGGTTACTTTGTGTTTGGACGACTATTTATAGTTTGCTTTGCTGAAAGACATTTCAGTTCTCTGTTATTGTTTTGACTATATCACGATTTTACTTCATCTACATTTAATGAAGCAAGATTGTGTAAATGCTCTGGCCTCTACGGCATCCTCCTGAACTCTGGTCTGCATGACAATAAATCTAAATGTAGTGAAATAATTATTCTACTTAGTTGTTAATTAGCAATACAATATGACTAAAAAAATTATTAAAAACAATCTATAGCTACATTGTAGGTAGGCCTGTCACGATAACAAATTTTGCTGAACGATTAATTTTCTCAAAAATGATTGAGATAAACAATAATATTGTTTGAAGACCTTTTTACACTGATTTAATGGAAATGACGTAATAATGCATGCTATTCCTGCCAAAGATAAACACACTTTATTTTCAACAACACTTAAACACTGGAACTGGTAAACAAAATAAAAAGAGAAATAAAAATCAAATGTACTCTCAGTCTCTGTTAACTAAAAATACACTTGAATAAAACTAAACACAAGATAAAACCACAGAGGAAATAAAAACTACAACATTTTTCAAAATGCCGGCTTTTCAACAATATTAAATGGAAGCATCTCTTTAGCAATTAAATGAACTACGCTGTCTGTGAGCACGCGCCACTTTGCGCTGTCGTTTTTGTGTGCTTCCTGTCGATTAATTGCTTCAGTGATGGTGGACTGTCGGGAACTTGAAGACGCAGACCATCGCTTGTACTTTTTGTTTCCAGCTGGAGAAACTTTGCTGGGTGGTTGTGCTTAAGGTGCATGTGTAGGTTGGTTGTATTGCTGCTCTAGTTGCTACTGCTTTATGACAAATGCGACATACTGGCTCGCATAGGTTCAGCGGTTTGCCTCGGTCATTTGGTTTGAATCCGAAATACTCCCACAATGCGGCTGTTGCGTTCGGCTTTGAAGCCATTTCCATTTCAAGCTTTTCCCCCAAACATAGGATGTGTTTTTTTTTTGTTTTTTTACCACGCCTCATCACGGGGCTCTAAAGCTGCAGAAGTGCAAAATGATGCGTGCTGACTACCTGATGCGATAGTCCACTCCTCCTTCCTCCTCATTTTTTCCCTTTCTAAAAAATTAGGAAGGGGAGGGGTCAGTGGATAGCACCAGAGTTAAGCCTTTTCATCCAGCATCATCAATAGAAAGAGAAAACACAGGCAGAGACAATATAGCCGATAAATTAAATGACGTGGATAGTTTTTATTTATTGTGCGATTAATTGATTTATTGATTATCGCGACAGGCCTAATTGTAGGTGGAGAGGTTCTACTATAGTTGAAGGAGACTGGACAGATACTGCTTGGTCTGGGCATCGTTGATAAACTCAAATGCAGAGGCAAATGTTTTTTGGCCTAATATTATTACAACCCCCCCCCCCCAATTTTTTCCTTTCCGGATAAGTTTTGCAACTTACATTCTCCGTTTTTACAAAAGGTAGGGTTAAGATTTTTACCTAATTTGAGTTTTTAAAAAGTTATCCTGAAAATACACTACTCTGTCAGAGCTCATCATGTATTTAAACATGTGACAGTTTTTAAAGCTGTCGCCTAGCAACAAGAGGCCAATGGGTTACAACCCCAGCCTGGGCTCTCTTTACATGGAGTTTGTATGTTCTATATATTGGTTCACTGCTTCGTCTGGCTTCTTCTCACGGCCCAAAACCAGGACTAAGTTTTAATGTGATGGACTTGCATCCTTACCAGGACGCATCTGCCCTCTTGTCTAAAGACGGATGGAGCCTACCACTGCAATGATTTAAGCAACTATAGAAGGACAATATTATCCGCTTTTGACTTTATGCTAAATAAATAATCCACCGTATTCACGTGAATAGGATCATACTGCAAGCAACTCATGCTGGGAAAAGGTTTGTGACAACAGTTGTTTCACGGCTCTTTTTTGGTATATATCACATTTATGCATTATATTTGATTAATCAGTGTATCCTCTGGCATTGCTACAACAGAGAGATCCCTTTAATAAATAATACAGCAAAAGGACAAGAGTAGTCAGTTATGCTAGGCATAGCAGATTGTTTATTTTGGCAATTTTACTTTATCTTTCTGGGTTTTATTCCTCCTTGCTACAATATTGTCCCTGGATCCTATGATTAACATGTTCTTGGTTATTCCTCTTATACTGTTCCTACTTTAATGGCTTAACAACTCCATGTAGCAGGGAGACAAATGAAAAAGGAGATTAATCTGGATACTTTATAGCTTTTAAAAGCTGAAAATGTGATTAAATCCTAAAGATTGAGTTTAACTCTTGGAAGACTGTAACTATAGAACCAAAATGTTATGTGACAATAAATCAGCAGATAAGATCGTAGCGGTAAGAAGAGGAAAGCTACGAAGAAGAAAGCAGCAACAGCCTGACAGCTGCCGTTCAGTTAAGAATCAGAGCTGAAGAAAGAATGATGACTTAACACCGCAGCTGCTTTCCCAGATATGAGCAAAATTATCAGCATCAGTAGTTGCGTAACATTATTAGGTAACCACTTCCTCTAGCCAGGGTGCATTTCACAAAACGAACAGCAAAGGAGTGTTCCTCCCTTGGAGTAAAAACACTGTAGAACAGAGTAAGCAGCCGTGTTTGGAGAAGAAGGCAAACAAAGTAAGAGGACTTAAGTTCTTAAGTTGACAAAAGCATTAATGTGAATCAGCTTTAAGCACATAAAACATTAGTTAAAAAAAAACAAGAATTCAAAAATGAGGAATAGAAAATAAGTAACCAACTTTGAAGGATGGAAAAAAAATCCCAGAATTATTTCCTAGCGTAGCACCATTTGTAGTTTCAAGGACCAAACATTAGAAACTGCAGTTTACAGACGAGTACAACACTCACCTTGTGCAGGTGCTCCAGAGCAAGAATTATTTCCCCGATATAAATCCGCACCGCATCCTCAGAAAAGTGATCTCGCTGGTAAAGATGAGTAAACATTTCCCCGCCGCTCACATAGTCTGCACTCACACACAAGAACAAATACAGAGGGGGCTTGAAAAGATACGAGACGAAATAAACAAAGAAGAATGCAGACAAAAAAGGACGCACGGTGCCAGACAGAAAGATGAACAGAAATATGTTTAATGTTTCATGACTGACAAGATGGTAGCTTCTCCTGATTAAATTTTTTTTCCTGGCGTCTCTGGACTCACCTAGGATGAGATGCAGCTTGCTTTGGGTTTGAAAGGCGTAGTGAAGCGTCACCAGGAAGGGAGACTGGCGAATGTGCTCTAGCACTTGCCTCTCAGTGCGAGTGTGTTCTGTTGTTTTTGCTTTCTGAACAATCGCTGCTTTCTTTAAAACCTGCAAGGACAGTCGTAGAAACACGTTTCCATTAGGTACACTGAGCAGATGATAGCTGGTCAAACTTGCCTCTGTTACATCAATGCAATTCACAATGCTTGATCTTGTTGTCACATCATAATCACAAACTATACTGGGGAGTTAAAGGCTAATTATACTCCCACAGCAGTGTGTAGCAGTGTGCTTGTCGATATGGCGCAGATATTTTGGATTTATGCCCAATTTTGAAGAGTGCTATTCCACGCCACAATGCAAGAGGGACAATCGTGACGAGCTGTGGGTCTAGATACGGCCGAGGCGATGAGAAGGTGGAAAAATGCAAGGGGTAAGTTTGTGCAACAATGGAGACATGAGGGCAAAAACGAGCAGGGATCCAGGTGGAAAAAGGGTCTTAGCGTTCTCACACACCTCGCTCTTCTAGCTGGTCCATCTTCACGAGTCGTTTTCCACAATGACACTCATACAAAGTACCAAACAGAAAAGATTTGACCAATCAGAGGCCTCCTGTCTGCGGCACTGTCTGTGGTCACTTAGGATTTTGGAGAGGTGCATCAGAGTGTCTGTGGAAGGGTGGGGCATATCTGCCTTAACTGCGACACACACGCAGACGACCTGGTTTCTGAGCTTAAACCAGGCTTTAAGGAACATATAGAACACGTGCAAAACAGCTGAGTCGGATGGGACTGAAAGATTTTGATTCTGCAATGGGATTTAGGTCTGTGCTTTGACTAGACCACTTCAACAGCTCTTATCTCTGACCAGCTTAACTATTCCTGCAGAAGAAAAGCTCCATCAGGACAAGATGCAGCCAACAGGTTTTAAAACGAACCCGTTTTGTAGCCATTGTGTAGATTTTTACCAACTTTGGTCTGTAATCAGTGCACTTTCTACTAAAACGTTTCCTCATTGCTTCCTTCTTAACACATCACACTTTTTTTTTTAATACTCCAACTTCCTTTTTTTGCATTATTTTCACATACAATTCCAATTATATACAACAAAGCTTGTGATTAAAACGTGACAAAATGTGAAAAGTTTAAGGGCTATTCATACTTTTGCAAGATAGGAAAGAAAACAAGATTAACCTAAATGACTTATAAAACACTGAAGCAAAGATACCAGGTATCCAATTTTACCTTCATAGCATACAGCTGGCCTTCATCGTGGCCGGTGTTCTTCCTAACCAAAAACACTTTTCCATAAGCTAGAATAAAAACACACAACATTTAAGGTTATTTCAATAGCAAATGGTTAAAAAAACAAATCTGAAAAGGTCTTGTGATGTTTTTCCAAACCACGTAAACCGATGCATTTCACAATGTATTTCCTATTTTCACACATCTACATAAATGGTGGAAAAGCTGTCTGTGTTTGCAGTTAGATTGTGGTCTCTGACACTATGCTTTGGACACAGCTGAGAAAGTGACTGCTTGTGCTTTATTTGGGCCTGGGGACGTTAAAACCATCAGTGAACCACCAGAGGTCCATTTAAACATTTCATTCCCCTAAACATATTATCATCTGGTTATCTAATTACTTGCTCAATATGCTAAAATCTTGCATTAATTAGCAATAATTAGCACTCTTAATAAATTGACATCATATCCGACTCCTGTTTGATTCCATTAGCTTTCATAAAACTTGCCAATTATGGCTCCACTTAAGAAATGTACTTAAAAAACAAAATTAAAAGAAGTCCTCCCGGTAGACACTAGTTTTTAAAGTCACCTAATCTCATCACTTCCTTACGGTCTAATACAACAACTATTTCAAATCTACAGTTGTCACAGTAGTTTAAAAAATATTAACAGCCTTTCCAGAACAATCCTTCAGTTTAATAAACAAACTTCTCTGAAGGTCCTACAGTATTTAACCGAACTGAAGTCTGGGCTTTAACTGATAAAGCCGTTTCTGGTTATTTTCTTAGTTTTGCTGCTTTGTTTAGAATCATTATCCCGTTGTGTGACCTATTTAAACTTCAGTAGGTTGACAGATGGAGTCTCATTAAACTAAGTGAAAACATCGACTGTAAGGAGCCATATGGCTGCAAAACAACCCTTAGCTCACATTAGTGTCCTTGACTGTTGATATGAGGTTTCAATAACGTTGTGTGTCTTTTCTAGTGTTAAGCAAACATCCACATTTAGGGATCATTTATGCAAAAGACACAGCTTTAGAAGCTTACCTCCGGTGCCTAAAACCTTGAGCAGCTCAAAGTTCTCCATGCCGACCCTTTCAGTGTGACCTGTGAGATTCGCTAGAAGCAGGGGGAGGAAAAAATAGTCATCAAAACAAATACAAAAAAAGGCATTTTGATAATCCTTTACATTCTGGTATTACAATTAGGGCTGCAACTAACGATTATGTTGCTAATTGATTAATCTGTTGATTATGTTTTTTGATTAATGGATTATTTGGATAGCAAAAGGTTCCTAGAACAAAGGTTCATAAGATATTTTTACAGAATCAAACCAGGTGAAACTCAAACTTTTTCACTTGAGGAGTTCTGCATCTTTTTTTTATCTTAAATTCAAAATGTTTATATTTTGTTTAATAATTTTTCTATAAATCCTGCTCTAAGAAAGTTGCTCTGTTAACTAAAGGCATGTTTTAGAGTCTCTATACTCCAGTTAACAATCGGTTGATGACTATTTCAATAATCGATGAGGACGATGAATCTGATTAATTGTTTCAGCTCTAAAAACAATATAAAATTTGGGATAGCAAATAAAACATGTCTACTGATCATTTGAGTTTAAAAGTCTACCGTCTCTGATGTATTTGTTTATATTTATTTATTCCTCCTCTATACTTAAAATTTAATAACATAACACATGAAGTATTTAAAACTAGGCTAACTGTTTTAGTACGTGCTGCACATCGAAGGGAGCCCACTTGAATACTTATCTCAACTGATTAAAAAGCTTAAATCCTGACAAAAAGCAAACGAACATCACCAAAGAAATAACCCAGAAACTTCTTGATTTAGACATGTTGAAAAAGAATAATCTGAATAGTGTGGTATGCATTTACAGTTAGTGCATATCTCTAAAAAAAAATTCAATTCAACCATCAGCTTTAATAAGTTATCTGATTATTGGTATACATTATATGTGTTTGTGTAAAGTCCAGCTTTAAAAGATCTACAGCAACAATTTAAATATGTGTATGGATGAACTAATCCACAAACAAGAAAGTAAGAAAAATGTGAACCTAAATATGTAAAGTACATCTCAGTAAGGCTAGGCAATTGATCAATAAAACGCATTAATCAAATTTTCTGTTCAAGAAGATAAAATTTTTTAGATGAGGGTGACATCAGTTCATCCTTTTTTGCTCTCAGCTGTGCATTCATAACAGATAAACCAGCTCTCTGTGTGGTACCACCAACTGCAAACGTTTAGTGTGTCATGTTGTCATTGTTTTGAAACTTGATTCTTTTTCAAACTTGTTTTACTGCTTGGGTTCATTCCCCTTTACAGGGGATCATAAATTCGCTAGAAAAAATTTTAGATTTTTAAGCCATTTTGCTCAGATCTTTTATTAGCTTAACTGGTTGCAGTTATAACAACAATGAACTTCAAATTAATAAATCTAAGAATAAAATCATTAAAAACACCTCTCCATGTAATTATATGTTAAGAATTATTATTATTATATTATATTGTAAGAAATGGAGGTTTATATGGTGTAAATAGTTTGCAGTTTTGATCATTCAAGTGAAAAACTTTCCATCAAAAGCTGCCAAAATGTGATTTTTTTCACTTTTCTAATGTTCTAATTTCCTACCTGTCTTATTACCCATGTTGTGTTGAAAATTACAATAAATTCCTCTAAGAATGTACATAAATGTGACTTACCATTAGTGATTTGATGTTTGACAGTTTGATGTTTGTTTGATTTCCCATCGGAGTCATCACTACTGTCAGATGTGTCCCCAGACATAATTAAAGGTGTTTGGGGGTCTTGTAGAGACTGATTTAATAAACCTAAATGCTAAATAACTGCGCTACAGGCTCGACAAGTACACAGATCTATTGTGAATGCATTGCGAGGAAGGCAGGGATTATCGAAAAGACAGGACCGATGTGTTTTTGAGGGAATAACATTAATCCCCACGCATCTGACATCCTGCTGTTTCGCATTGTTTCTCAGTCATGTCAATAACCAAAGAAAAACAAGGACGTGTTGCTTTGTAACGGCTGCCTGATCCGCACCAACATTAAGAGGAAATAATAGTGTTGCTTTCAATTCCTGTCACCAAACGTAGCCGTTAGTTTGACACTATATGCAGTTTAACGTACTGTTGTTGTTAGCATTAGCTGTGTATCATTGGTCATTATCCAGAAGGTAGCTAATAGTTACTTTTGTAATGACGCGTTACTTTTGAAATCGGCTTTTTAAAAATGAAATCTTTGAATTAAATTTTTTTGCTGGTATAATAGCTCCAACAAAATGATCCGTTCCCTGTCCAGATGTAAAACAGCGTTAGCAACTAGCTGTCCGTCAAAGTTTGAACGATTAGCTAATCGCTAAATGTTTGCTAGCCTTTTCAACTGGCCTCTTCAGGTGCGAGCAGTCAGACGGTGGCGGAAAACACCTCCGCAGTAGCTCCTGGTCTTCTTCCTTTTCCTAAGAGTTAAATACATTATTTCTCCATCAAGTGTAAGCTGCGTCTTTACTTGGGTTTTCTGACCGCAGCAAACTGCTAACACCAGGATGCTCTCGAGACAACCTGGGCGACGGCCAGTCACGTGACGCGGGATAGTGGGCGGGGCTTCTTTACTAGAGAGACCAGAGAGCTGAAAAACGATTATGTGGCAAAAATTAAACAATACTTATTGTCCTGCTAGTAATTGTACATAAATAGCATTTTGAGTCTATTTATTGGTGTAATTCAGATGCACCAAAGCCCAAACTCAAGAAGAAGCTATGTTTAGCTTCCCTTATTTTTAATAAACTGTTGTTGTTAAAAACAAGATTTCGCCAAATTAATTTTGTATTTGGTAAATTTTTGCTCGGTAATGTCTTTATTAAAAAAAAAAAAAAAAAAAACTAAAATTTAAAAAAGTTTAACTTTTTAGTTCAAAACAGCTCTGATCACCTGAAGTAAGCCTGGAAACATTACAATAACAGCCATATGGTATAGGTTATCCAGGGGCGGAGCTAGATGGGGGCCCAGGGGAGGCCATGGCCACCCTTAGCCAATCATTGGCCACCGCTACCATTTATTTCGCTCTTAATACAGATGGTGGCAACAGTAATTTCAAGTGTAATATTCAAAACATTTTAATTTTTCATATATTAACAAAAACCCTGGTTAATTATGCACATCAATATACTAACATTAAAGATGATAAATACAGAATTCAAGCAGAAATAGATTTAGTGTTTTATGGGGTAAAAAGTCATCTAAAAGTGAAATCAGAGTGAAATCACAGATAAATATTTTAATAAAAACCTATTAAATAATTAATTTATGCAGATATTTGTAATTGTAAATATCAATTTTATGCAGAATGATTACTGACAAAAGTAGGTAATGACAATGTAAAAGATGTTCGCCAAAAACTCAAACCTGAAACAATTTTATCCATTATACCTCTTATCTACAAAGCACGGATGTTTGAATATTTTCGTCTACTTGTGAGCAAAGGCTGTGGGAAAGTATAGTTTGTCTTTATTTAGAATATGGATGTTTTGCTCGCTAATTTTCCTGTTGGAACAGTGTAGAGGGGGCAGACAGAAATGTTTGAAAAACAAAACTTTATTTTATAAAATTGAATAAAGTTCAAGAACTGCTTGCTGTAACCATCAGCAAAACTGTCAAATGTTTACCGACGGCTGATTTTTAATTGGTGCATCACGAAGTTTCACTAATCAACCAGCAGTGTACAAAACCAGCAAGTTTTCTATTAGTCTGCTACTCAAATACTTTGTTAATTCTTCAACAAGTATTCTACTTCTCAGAGATGCGTTATTAGTTATTATAAAGACACAGGGACAACCTGGAAAAAAATATTTCAGGAATTTCCTGCTGGAATAAAAAAGAAACCGGACAATATTTTTTTCTCCCCTTAGATGGTCAATATTTAAATGTTCAAATATTACAAGGTTAAATAATAAGTTCTGCTAAGGTGCCAATGAGAGAAATAAACTCCATATTTTCTTAATCCACAATTTAAATGTCCTGATTCTTTCCATTACACCCAGATAAGGTACAGCCAAAGGAGTCGAAGCTACTTAAAACACTAGAAATTCCTAATCTGTAGATGACTTGTCCAAACTGCAGTAGCTGATACCAAAAGGCATTTTTAAGCAGGTTATTCCTATAAAGAAAAAGTCAGATTAAGAGCTTCATAATGTCTGTAACCTTAGCAAGAGAAGGAACAGGAAAATAAAGCGCAATCTTTCAATAAACTTGAATTTATTACTGCATGTCTAACCAGTAATACATTTTCAAATGTGTATTCCAAGCATGAACACACAGAAAAGCTTTTGGGTGAAACTCCCTTTAAACACTGAGCCGATTCTTGTACTGCATTTTAATGTTTATTAATGTTTTACAGCAACTTTACAAGAGAACTCTGAGTTGATCTTGCCTGGAGTGCTGTAGTTTTCCAGAGGATATACCAGATGCCTTTTCCCAAAACAATTCCAAAGTTGTGAACAAGAATAAAAATAATGATAAAAAAAAAAAAAACATACAGACAAAAGTCCCAGTCAGGTCAGGACAATATAATCTTGAAGGCAAAGATCAGAAGAATCTGCATGTTGTTCCACTCGGGTCACGGAACTTCTTTACATACATGGATTTGTTTCACATTAACGGATGGCTATCAGTCCGACATCGATGAGTTTCTGTATCTTCTGAGCGATGACTGGATTCTTTAGGTGGCTGGAAATAAAACGGGAAGCAACAATTAAATGAAGGATTTCTGGAAGTTTGCCAATCATGTAACATTATGGAAGGGGGGGGACTTACTCGCTGAGGGCTTGTGGATCCTTCTGCATCTGTTCAAGGATCATGCGCATGGCCGGGTCGGACATAATCTGCTGGACCTCTGGATCAGCCATGGCTCTTTTCTTCACCTCCTCTGGGCTGTCGTTCCTCATGGTTTGGCTGACCATGCAGCGCTGAATACCTTCTGTGGCTTCCTGAAAGGCCCAGAGAGAGAAGCAGAGGATTTTTATGAACATATATTTTAACTTAAGAGTTCTGACACAACGCTCTGAAAAATTTACTTTCTCGTTAGTCACGGCTCTGGTGATTCTCATCTTGTTTCCAGACCTTGACCTTTTTTGAATTACATTAACAGCCATAGAATCGGCTTCATTACAGCCGATCTGATTTGATATATCTGCGCAGTGGGGCACCATTTTAAATGTGCAATATGAGGGAGTGAACCCTGAGTATTGCCTTTAATGACGCATTCAGAGGTTCTCATCCATAAGAGCACAACTCAGCACATTCGGGTGACACAAATTGTTATGGTCTTATTGAAAAGGCAATTCGTTTTTCAAGCCCTACTATTGAAACTCACACGTATCCTGTACTGCAGACGTAGCTCCCAAATATTTGAACATATTCCTATTAGCCTTTAGAAACAGAGCGGCAACATTAGTTTTGATCTCAAACCTTATGAGTTTATACAGCTGAACAGCATCACCCTTCTTAACTGGCCCAAGCTATTCACTTTTGTTGTATTTCTATAGAAGTCGGAAGCGTAGACTTTGCTTTTTTTCCTTTTTAAGACAGCCTTTACAATTTTGTTCTTTTTTAACTTTTATATTGCATATAGATTACCTTGGATGACGAATCCAGCTCTAACGCCTTCTGGTATGCGTCCATGGCTTTGGAAAAGTCTTTCATAGCCTCCAAGGCAGCTCCTTTACGTGTGTAGCCTTTGACTGCAAAAACAACATTTATTAGTTAAGAAAAATTCAAATAAAACTTTGGTTGGGTTTTCCTTTTAGCTATCAACAAAAAAAAAAAAAAAGAATACTTTAATTTTCAGACAATAAGCTATTACTTCTTTCACCAGCTTTGAACCCTGCATCTTATCGTCTGATGTGGCGTTTCTATGGATATTTTTGTGATATCATAAGAGGATTTGTTTTTGTTTGTTCCGCCGCTGTACGGCACTACTTTGCCTGGCGGAAGGGCATGTGATCAAAAACACAGTATCCATGGAAAAGAGTGGTATGTTTTCTCACATGTCCGTCCGCTAGGCAAAGTAGTGCTGTATGATCACCAACTACTTTCGAAGGACTGGACTGGTGATGAAGAGGACACCGCCATGACTCCTCAGAGGGAGTTCGATTCAGACACTGACTACAAGGAGCGCTTCGGTTTTGAAAGCAACAGTGAAGGAGAGAAGCGGATGACGAAGCCACCCTGAGACCGTTTGTTTCAGACACTGAAGGCGATGACTTTGGTGGTTTTAGTGGGCAGGAGGAAGACGATGGCGATGAATAACTGACTTTTCTTCTTGTTAAAGGCTAAGCTGCACTTTAGCCCAAAAGGTAGGCCGGATCTATTTTTTGTGGTGTGCTGTATGTTATTTTATACAATGCATTTGTATAAAAAGCTCAGTACATGCAGTACATGCGCAAACCTGCAGACCTCAAGAGGAAGTGTACAGACAAATAGCAGCTTTGATTGGTCATTGGTATGCCTTTCCGGCTGTCTCTGTGGTCATCCTTCTCGATTCAGTGCCGGGGCGCCATTTTTAAAAACCGAGGAGTAATAACAACAATGGATAACCATGACGAAAGGTTGATCAAGGAGCTTCAGAAGTACAAGTAAGATGCCTCAGACATGTTTTGGAAAATAAACACTTATGCCGAAAAAGTTCTCGTGACCATCCGCGAGTTCTCGAATAGGCTCCCCCTTGCGCTTTGGTGGGAAACTGTTGTGCGTCCCTAGAAATTCCAGACCCGACATTGCAGACGCATGCCAGCAAAACTGGTCCGCGGCCAGACACAAGCGACATTTGATGTGTGCGGTTGCAGAAGTATAATTCGCCATTTAAAAGAGCAAGATTTTGCCCTAATTTTAGCTTGTGCTTCAAATATTAAGGTGCAGCTTGTAGTCCAGAAAATACAATAAAACTTACTGAAAGTGGGCTCAAGTTTGATGCACTCTTCACAATCCTAACAAAGGGGAAAAACAAAAAGGAAAGGTTGACAGGTTACGCCGAGGAGAAAGGAGCTAAATCTCATTCCTAAGTGATGCTAAATGGTCGTACCTTCAGGGCGAGCTGAAATTCCAACAGCTTTGTGTAACACGCAGCTCTGTTACTGTACAGCTTGGCATCGTTGGGGTTTCTCTTAATAGCCTCAGTGTAATGTTTCATGGCTAATGGGTAGTCTCCTGGAAAATAATTAGCATCATCTTTAGCAATTTCCCTTCAACAAACAAACAGACAAATATATAGATGTAATTTTACAAACCTTTCTGAAAGGCATCGTTGCCCTTGTTCTTCTCTTCTAACGCCAGCTCAGGGTTGATATACGCTAGCTTTTCTTGCTCCTTTAAAATCTTCTCTGCCTGCAGGAAATGAAGTCGTTATCTGTTAACGTCTCTTCAATGAAAGAGTTTAAGTACCTGTTAGCGCATAGAGTGACTACTGCACCTGTTGACATTTCTTCAGCACATCAGGGGTCCGGTGCTCTGTCAAACTCTTGTTGAAGTATTGGATGGCCTCTTTGTATTTTTCCTGTTTAAAGTATGAGTTTCCGATCCGAGCCAGGGCCCTGCAGACAGAACAAAGCAGGAGAGGTAAATAAGATATCTGGGGAAAAAAGGTATTCAAAGCTGTGTCCTCTTTATTTTAACGTCTATGCAGTAGAGTGACAAGTTGTAAATAATCACAACGTGGAAGTGGGGACTGCTTTCCAAGCATTTTGGGTAGATTTCTATGTTTCCACATCTAGAAACCAAAATCCTTGCCCAAAGCAGCTGAAGCCATGTCAAACTAAAACAGGAGCATCATAAACATTATACAGAATTCCCATCTTTATTTGATTTGGTTGCCTTAACACTTCTTTTTTAAAAGCAGCCCAACCTGCCAGAACAAAGTAAAGCAGACACTGGTTTTGGGTGAAATCGCAAAAGCTAATAAGAAGGAAGAGGAGGCAAGGCAGTGAGCTTTCCATCCTGGTTACAATGTCAGTTTCTGCAGAAATGAGTAAATATAACATAATGCTTTTAAAAACATTAATGCCAGCATAGAGCACCCTACAAAGTTCACCTATATATGTAAAAGCTGGAAACTCAGCTTAGTCTAAAGTGCTTTGTTTGTGTTCAGTGCAAACAGCAAAATGACACCAAACTACAAAAAAGTTTACACAGCCTGTTTATACCGTCCAAAAGCGACAGTCATTTCTTTCCAAAAGTTTTTCCACAGAAAGTTGACAGGGGTGATAAAATATTGGATATATGAGGGTGGGGGTGCAGAACACCTCGCCTATTCAGCCAGGCTAACAATTCCCTCTAATGCCTACTAATAAACCTGCTCCTGACCAGGTTAGCTCTGCGGAGAATGTTACTATGGTAACAGAAACTCTTCATTAACCAGAAAACTAAGCAATATTAACATTTTTTTAATGATCCGCAGAAACCCTGTCTGTGTAATTAAGATGACATTTTTTGTGACCATGTCTCCAAGAACCTTTTTACCAACAAGTTTTCCCTGGAATTTAATCACATCTAATAATCAATTCACTGACCAGTTTCCTTTACCATGATGCCTCCCCCTCCGTGCATAACTACTCACAGACCAAAACCTTCTGGTGAATTTTAATTACATCAAGGTTTAAT